GTGGCACCATTGTACCTGGTTAATGTGATAGTATGTACATTGCTTTACTGACCCCATTGGACTTGGTGAGTATGATCGTTACGGATTCCGACAAGCTATTGACCTCAGCGTCCTCAACACTCGCTCCGAGAACTACCGTCTCAGGTTCAGCAATAAGGGTTTCGTTAGATGCTTCACTTACCGCCTTGAAAAAATATCAATTATACAATTAATAAACCAAGATAATAACTAGCGATATCAGTGGTTCGAAGATATGGCATTGCATGATTACGTGGCGTAAACTTTCGTTTTTTGACACGCTTGGTTAAAGTAACACTTTGTGTACATTTGTGTTCGATGGCTGTGTTTTCGATTTTACTTACCAAAAATACATTTTTCGACTTAAATGAGAGAAATTGGACGTGGTTGTAGTCGCTGACCCTACCAAATAATGATTTTGGTATCCTGATAGATGATTTCTGCAATAATACACATATCAGCAAAATTATCTAAATAATCATATTAGTGTTTAAATGTCTGACTGTAATTTGTCAAAATGCCTAAGCCAATTTACAGCTGCAATATTCCCTACTGAAATTCACGGATACATGTTTTCAACTAGTTAACTACGAGATGATGAGATAGATAAAGCGATTTATTTCTTAAATACAGACACAGACACATCTTGTGAATTGTCTTATGCACGTTTGAAACGTACGGAACTAGCATACATTTGACAAGGGTTCCAGTGAGCTAGTTACACCGATTTATTATAAAAGTGTTACTCTGCATTACGTTATCAAAGTCAAATGTTTGTATTTTCCCCGTCTATTTCTCCCCGATTATGCAAATGCATTAATTAGAATGCAGTATTAATTTGCGATATGGATAAAAAGATGGGTTTGTTAATATTCTTGTTTTATAGTGTTGAACACAATTTATTATAGTTCAGTGTAAACTAAACGTTGCTTTTCCAGAACACAAATTAATATTGTTTGGTGAAACATACTATCATACGCATTATTGGAGATTTTAATTGTTCAACAAATGATTACTCATTTGTGAGCCGCAACACATTGTTTAAAATAATTAATCAGTATGACGAACCCCATTGGCTGTTGCGTACGTCAAATCTTCGGTTGGTTCTATCTCGACCACGTGATATCAACAGTGTCTGTTGTTATGTTTACAGGCTCTTCAATGCTTTTTGCTAACTTCTCAATGGTGTTAATCAATCTAAAAGCAAAGTGGTAATATATGTCACAGCCAAAAAACATAGACGTTCTTCAATCAACACATTTTAAACAACGCGCAGAGAAATTCGGGAATTTCATTTAAAGACACGGATTGAAACTAAGCAAAAACCACACCCAATCGTAGATCATTGAACAAATGGAGCAAAGGAAATATCCAAGTTCGTGAACACAAGACAATAATATACACATGCAATGCAATACAAACCATGGTCAAATCATTGCAGGAATCTATAATACTGAGGGTATTGGTTAGATCACATGCTACGGTTTGTCAGGTTGGAATTATGCTTAAAAGCAGAAAACGTTTTTACAATCTTCAAGTGAAGTTAAATATTAAAGTACTAACTTTGAAGCGGTTTTTTGACTTCTTTGAACTGACACCATCTTCCCGAACGGTACCCTATCTAATGAATCCACACTGTTAAGTAGAGCGGTCGCCGTGTTAACATCTGTATCATCAAGTAGCGCATCGTCGATTAGATTAACTGCCAAGTACACATCTGATTCAACAAAATACTGTGAAGCGGAGGTGATATTCTCCAGTTTTTTAGCGACACCATAAGCATTTCCTATTGTATATTAAAATATACAAGTAATGCATATGTATACAACGACATATATTATATTATTATGTGTATGCGACATATATACATATTTATGTATATAACGGTTGAATGTGAATGTAGCTACAGGTAATGCATATGACGATGTATAAATCATATATATGTGAGCAAATAATATAAAACATAATTATGTGTATATAACGATAGATAGTACATATGTATGTGTACGTAACGGCATCAATATGATATTTATATTCATGAATATTCATAATAATATGTTGAAAATTGTGAAAAAATAAACTTCAAGCAAAGCATTCAATTGATATTTTAAAACGCATAAGCATTCCTACGTGACTCATTGTGTGTGTTTTTTTTCTGACCGAATATATGCTTATCTCAACTGATTATAAATCATCACACAATGGATATACCGATGTACAATATCGAACAACACACTAAATTGAAATGGTGATACGTGATATTAATTTGCAAAACAACCGTTTTTATCTATTTTTTTATCGAACGAATGCAATAATAGGTACTGCAAAACATTAGATAAATACCCAAATGTGGATTTTTTTAATACACTAGCGATCCTAAATATATGGCAAGAAAAGAAATCACATTGTTTTAAAGCGCATTATGGGTTATTGGTGTGCTCACCTGTTTTTTTGTTTTTCTCGAGGTCGGTAAATTCCGCGGTGAAATCGGATGATGAACACAAAGTGGAATCAACTTGGCCCCATTCAGGATCACCCGATGTTCTAAAGAACAGTAGTAAGAATAAAAATCAAGAGGATATGTACCTTTCTTGGTGTAGTCTATTGGCATATTTGAAAACAAACATGTGTGATCTAAGATACATTAAATGAAATGAATAATCATATCCGAATCACCAAATGTGTCCAAGATATATAGCGACACAAATGATTATGCGACAGGAAAACAATTCTAACACTAAAAGCTGGTTTTATAGACGTTCCCTCAACCCACTACCAAGTGAGTAACACATCGTTCTGAAATATAGACGGAGAAGTCCAAATGCCACATACAAGTCGTTTGAGCTTTGTAAGCTATGCCTAATATAAGCATTGTTTTGTATAGTTTTGATATCTGCGAAAGGTCCATTAACATTCCCACGCGAAGTTCTAAAATACTGGAACGTCGACTCAATACAATTCTCTGAAAATTCCTAATTATATGCAAGAAAAAACAAGATATCACTGTCGTGTATTGTGCATGTTACACAAATTACTTACTCGCTTTGTAAGCATTCTCTTGTTGCCTTCAAATTGTTTTGATCTTCACAATTTTCCCGATCAATGCTACCAACCTCGGTGTCATCCCATTTGTATGTGCCGTAGCCATCAGTCGTTGTTTCCTCCAAACATTGGGCTGAAACAAAATGTGCCAATATATTGATAACATGGAAGGATGACACAGCGTTCGATGCTACAGTACATTAGAATAAGATACTCTAAATTAGAAAAGTCTATCAAAGTATTCCCTTGTGTAATTGTAAAGAAGGCGAAACAAGTGGATTTCATACACACCAGCTAAAATATACATTTTTAGCTCCCAGTGTTGTTTGAGCTATTTGGTTATGATAATGAAGGTTATGGTGGGTTTACTTACGGAGACATTCAAACGCAGTATCTGGTTGATCGCTTACAGGAAGTAAATCAGAATCCTCAGATACACGACACGCGGCCCCAGTGACAGAAACGTTACCCCCAGCAACAAGAACTTTAAGCCAGTATAAATCACATCCACATTCCAGTGGATTACCGGCCAATTTCCTATACACAGAAATAGTTTATATAAAATTAACAAACATCATCAATATCATATCATATCATATCATATCATATCATATCTATCATATCATATCATATCATATCATATCATATCATATCATATCATATCATATCATATCATATCATATCA